GTGCATGTTTGGGAACTACAGTAGGAGCATGCCTACTTAAGTGTACAGGAAGAAAAAAAAATACTCAACCCTTTTGAGGTTCCTGTCTGGGCCTGAACTTAGACTGAAAAAGACAGCACAAAAATAAATACATAGGTAAATGAAACAGAAAGAAGAGCACAGATATAAATTCATAACTATATGGTCAATTAATCTATGACAAAGGAGATAAAAATATACAATGGGAAAAAGACAGTCTCTACAACTTTTTTTTTTGACATAAACAAATGCACATTTTATTCTGAATGCTTTCCAGTAGCATTTGTCTCAATTAGAAATATTACTTGCAGTAAAAAGGGGAGAAAAAGATCATTTAGTATTATAAAGAATCATATGTAAAGGCAACTCGATACAGAGTCCAGTGACCTCTTCATGGTATCTGAAATATACACTACAATCATCAAGGCTTTTACAAGTCCTGATTCTAAACAGGTAGTAAAAAAAAAAAAAAGTACAAATTGACTTTTACATTCAACTTGAGTTAAATGAAGGCACTCAATAGTTTTCATAATTATTTTGTAATAAAATAATCTTTATCTACTCTTACCACAACAGTGTGAGGATTTCTTTTCTAAATGTAGGAAGGCCTGTGAAGCCCAGGATGTTATAATTAAACCCGTTGGCATCGGTACAATGATTTTTTCTTCTGATGAAGTTTAAGGTGAATATAGGTTATAACCAAGTTGTTTCAAAATAAAGCTTAAGCTGTGGTCAGGAAGTATAAAAGTTGCTCTTCTGTTACTGCAGAGGAGTAATGTTCCACCATGTTTCTGATGTGCTGTAGGTCTGGTCTTCTGGGCCTCCAAGCTGCATAGGGTCTACCTTGTAGAGAGGTGGCACCTCTAAATGCAGGTAATGAGCTAGTCACCCACTTCCACCCAGTGGAAAACTGGGTGGAAAACTGGACAGTTACATGCAAAAGAATGAAACTGGATGATTTTTTTTACACCATACACAAAAATAAACTCAAAATGGATGAAAGATCTAAATGTGAGACATGATACTATAAAAATCCTAGAAAAGAGCACAGGCAGCTGTTAATGGAAGGAAAGAAAGTAATGATAAATCTTCAGAGGCCAAAAACCGAGAGAAAGTGGGAACCTGAAGAGGACAGGCAACATTTGGGTGCATAATGGCTGAGAATTTTCCAGAATTACTAAAAATTTACTCTCAGGTTTAGGAAGCCCCAAACAAGGTAAATGAAAGGAAACCTACATCTAACCTACATGTGCTAAATATGTTCATCAGCACTTGACATCACCTGCCAACCCTTTCTGTGATTTGGGTTGGGTTGGATTCCATTCTTTTCCATCCAGTTTGGTTGTTCATTGGGAATGCTTCCGACTACATTTCCCCCAACTCCACACCTGAGGTCCTAGCTGTGACTTACTTAGCTTCTGTCTATGCTCTCCTGTGCAAGTTGGAAGACAAAAGGGACACATGGCCATCTCCGTGCCACAGCTCTCTCTGATGAGTATGGTCTTGAGATATAAGTGTTTCAAGGCAGTGGCAAAAACCAGACTCAGTGATCCAGTGCCTGACAGGCACAGGCATGGTGAGTCCACTGGCATTTGAGACATTTGGGCCTCTGGACACAGTATTCCTCTGTTAGGTCACCCACTTCATGGAACTTCCTGACTTCTAACCTGTAGCTGCATCCATGATTTCTGGACTCAGGAGTGAGGACAGAAACTGCCTTTCCTCCCCCATATTAAATTTCACCTGTTCCCTGTGTTAAGTCTCACTCCCCTTACTCCTAACCTGAGAAGAACTGTGTGAATCTCCCATGATCCAGACCATCAAAACTAGCAGAGAATATAGGAAAAAGATATAGAAAAATCAACACTCCCAAATGCTCTGGGTTCGTTCTGGGGAGCAGCCACCACTCCTCTGTCCCTGTCTCTGTCTCTGTATCAGGTCTTCCTGTTCCTAGTGACTGACTGAGAAGGATACATGATCGGCAACAAGGCAAGAAACTTTGCTTCTGCCCCTGCTATCTGATTACCAGGGTCATCGACTGCAATGCTGAAACTCTGCCATCATACCGTCTGACCAATTTCCTCTCTTTTGGTTTAGAGAGCCCTTGCTAACAGTTTCTCCTATTGTGTTTTTCCTCCTTTTCATCTTCATTTATTTCTTCCTTGATAAAACTGCAGTCTTGTAGGAGTAATAATAGCTCTTGAGTTTGTTAGTTCTGTTGTAACATTTTTTGCTTATCAACTAATTTTTTCCGAATTTTGTTTTATTTCACTTCTACTAATTTTCTTAGGACTTTTCATGTGTTTTTCCTGCTACATAATCAAATTAAGTGCTTTATTTGTTTATTTTCTCATAATTTTTAATAGTAAAAGCACTGAAGATGAGCAATTGACCTCTGAGTATCTCTGTGACTGTCCTAAAGGTTAAAATGAGGAGCTCTAATTTTTCTTATTTCATCCAAAGTCTGTTATTAACTCATTGCCTTATGTCTTGTGCCTTATTTGTTTGGATCCAAAGAAAATAATTCTACTCATTAGAAATTCTTGGTACTTGTTTTATTGATATTCACTGATATTCTCAAACAACTTATATAGATACCTAAAGTCAAACAAAGTACGCAGATGTCTGAAACCATGAGCCTCCCAAAGGGCACTTGAAGTGCTTCCATAAGATAAGACATCACAATCTAAAGGAAACTCCCTCCTCAATGAGCTGAATTCCTAGCCTAATCTTCCCTCTCAATTTCATAATTTCCCATATTTTCCTGTTAGTCTCACACATCTAGACATTTTCTGTTGAGTTAATGTGGTTTGCTTTCTCTGAATATCATTACTCATTCTTTAAATATCTACTCCCCTGACCACATCATTTCAGCAGACTGGCTTATACCATCATTTCTCTCTAACACATGCCTTTCTGTGATTACTTGTTTGCAATTATAAATCTGCTACACAGGAAGGAAGTACTATTCTTTGTTTATTTTTGCATCTTCAGAACCTAACTCACTACCCACTGCATACATGTTTGCTTAATTCAGTTTATCAAATATTAAAAGTGCTTTGTTTTAACAAAACGCATACCTGTCTTTTTTCTCTATAATGAGATATTAGGAAGACATGCTGGCTCCCTTCATCTCACTCATAGGAGGAGTGTGACTTTCCATTGGGCTACTGAAAAAAGCTTAACTTGTGAGTACTATATGTCATAAAGGTTTGAGGTCAAATGTTCACCCAAAGAATCTCAACTCAAATATGAGCTAACTGCTCTGGTGGCAAGAAAACAGAACATGCTATTATATTGAGATTGGCCAACACTACTAGCATTTGTCAAGGCAAAGGATGCTGATGGGAACCAAGTATGAGGGCTTACCATGGGTGTTTGTCCTATGTAGCCACCTAAAGAGGTGGTGGAACTCTAGCAACAGAAACCTGGAAAGATATACCTACAGAAAGCATAGATGCTACAGAAAGCACAAATAACCTTCTAGATTAGAGAAGTATCTGCTCAGGACAAGGAAACTGAAGTCTGAGCCACCAAAGTGCTTCATGAAAGACTCTACACACCTGCCATGTTTAAGTTGACCTTATTTGGTTAGTTCAATTGATGCTTTTTCTATTCTTTTACATTTCCACATGAGCAAGGTGAAAAAGGATAAAAAGATAGGGAAGAAGTTAACCATGCCCCCGTTTCCCACTAGAAACTTCCAAGCTGATCCAGGATAGGAGGAGATAAGCCATTAAACCACATTTTGAGATCTCTTTAATATCTTCTCCTGGATATTCTAATTGCTGACATCTGACTGTGTTCTTTACTGAAAGTGACCATACCTCCTGAATAGAAAAGTCCTGGGATCCACCAGGATTTACAAAGTAGAGAAAGTTAATTTCTTCTGAATACACATTAAAGGGATGGAGGGAGACACTGAACTTGTATTCGACTTATATCATGAATTACACATGGTCACTCTAGTGCTTAGACTTCATGTGATCCACTCAGTATCCAGTGAGGGATGTAGGGCAGTTCTAAAGCCAAGGACTACAAATGCTATATAGGGCCAATAGAATGTCATGTAGGCCTCTTAGTTCCAAAAAGAGAACTTACTGTGCCAGCTTTAAGCAGAAAAGGAATTTATTAAGGCATTAGGTAGCTCAGGAAGCTGGAAAATAAACTTGTGGCTGAATTTCCAGAAACTCCTCTCAGAACCTCACCACAGAACACTGCATCTACCAGTGACCCCAGAACCAAGTCGCAGTGCACCTGCACATAACCTTTTTTCTGACATGACTAACTCCGAATTGTATGTCTGCTTGGTAGAATCTAGATGACCTGCCAAGCTCCAATCTACCCAACAAGGATGGAAATCATAATAGGGCAACAATCAAAATATAGAGTCTTTTCAAAAGACATTGAACAGCCACATGTGACAGATGACTTCAACTTGTGGCATAAATGCCTAACAGGCCCTTTATTCTGGTTTCTCATTCTGTGGAATATTCCCTGCCAGGCTTTTCCAAAGCCTGGAGGAATGGCTGTAGGAGGTATATGCCTGTTTAGGATCCACAAAGATTACAAGTCTCAGGGCTAACAGCCTAACATTCTTTCGTTTATGCTACTTAATCTTAACATTCAGCTATGGACTACCACATGCATGCAAATTTCTCAAGGAGTTCCAATGCATAAGGACTTTTTTCCAATACAATAGCAGCCCATGTCTGTCCCACTCAACTGCACTTGTAATATCTTTCAGTATCTTGTTATTTAACTATTATCTTGTTTGTAAAGGCAGCTGGAAGGGACTGAAGAGAACTCCATCAGAGGTTATTTCTTACAAGCATTCATACATGACACATGACAAATGTTCAGCAAATATTTGTATAACTGTCACATTTAGAAGTCAAGACACCACTGTCAAGCTCCTGAAAAATAATCCAAAGACATGTAATCAAAATTTTGCCACTTTCTCAGTATGCACCCACGTTTACCTGTGGCTTATCAGGAGCCTGCCCACACGGTGTACCACTTCAGTGCTTGCTTGCCACTCCCACATCTCAGTGTTTCTGCCTGCTTCAGTGTCAATCCCAGAAGCATGGCTGGCTTCCAAGTTTTTCTTCACAGTTCTCTGAAGAAAGTTTATGTAATACCAGTGTGAGTAATAAGGACATGCTATAAGTAAGCCATGTGACTCCTGATGTGCACTATAGGTCAGTGGCCTCCTGAAGAGCTTCTGCGATGTAGGTAAGCCCTCACAAACAACTTGGCCTGGACTAGCATCAAATGACCCCTTCTGAAAACCAGTCCCTTATTCCGCATATGAACTTCTTTTAACACTGTTTTTTAACTGGAGGGAAGAGTTCTCGTTTTTACTTTTGGTACCTCTTTTTCATGGTGCAGTTTTTCTTAAAGTGTTTGAACATCTTTAAACTGTGGAACCTGGTATGGGGCCTGCTTATTCTGGTTACCTAACTCTGGTCATTGTGGGAGGGGAGCAGGGCATGAAGTTGGACCTTAGCCTCACTCTCTGGTTTTAGCATGCACATGTACCACTGCCTGCTGTGCAACATAACAGCCAAATTACTCCAGATTCATAGTGACTCAATTCATTACCCTGAGGAAGGCTTCAAGGTCTTATCCCACATCTTGTATCCATGGACTCTAGGCTTAAATGCCCCCCAATCGCTTCTACCTCCACCATTATTTTCTACTGCTTGTGATTGGTTTATAATTTTGGAGGCTTGGTTTCTGTGTAGATTGGCTTTAGTTTGATATTTATCCATTCAGTATTCTCAAAATTTCACATTCACTGATGTAGGAATGATCTAGCGTCTATCTGGCTGGTGTTTATTACAAATCAATAGCCCCTTAATAGTAGGTTTTCATAACACTTCATAATTTACAAAACTTCTGATCATCTCATTTAATTCTCATGACTTTCTCATGACATTTTATAAATGAAGACAGCAATTCAGAGTTTAGTGACTTGTGCAAAGTTATATAACCATAAATGAAGGAAATGGGATCTATGTACTCTATACCTTACAAATAGGTCAAAGGATGCTCTGTTTTCCCACACAATGTTTCCTCCACATCTTCTCTCCCCATTGGAACAGCTCTCCAACCTGTAGGACTCCCATCCCAACTCAGTCTCTTAACTAGGTTAACTGGAACTACTAATTTAGGCCCATCTTCATGGTTAGTTTTCCACTGTTTTAAGTACCTCCAATACTTACATTTTTAATACTTTAGTTACAAAGAACTCTTCTTTATCTTACTGATGTCAATCATTTTAGTATCTACCTGGAATACCAGGTTAACAAAAATAATGAAGCTAAACCAGGCCTAACAGAAGAGAATGTCTAGGTCAATTAGCAATATCTGCCATGCAGGGGAGGAGATAGTGACAGCCTCTAAGACACTTAAACCTACAATTTCCTCACTTATTCTGCCTCCATCTTTCCTTACTATCACCTTCTTTTGCTACTGGCCAAGTTTCCTGTAGTGGGCATGGGACTCAAGTATATTATTATATGTTGATATCAAGTTAATTTTTTTTAAGTAAAGCCTCTTCTTCAACTTGGCATGTCAAGAATATCTACCTATTTGTTTCATAGCAACTTTTAAAGGATTTAGCTGATTTTGACCAAATTTACTACAATTACAAAAAGAATCCAGATACACAGTAAATTTTACTTATATTTCAATCTATTCTGAAATTGAGCAGGAAGGTAGGAGTATGTAACTGTTGATAAAAATTTTCAATATGTGTAAGTAATTTCAGTAAGTAAGTTTTAAACAAACACAAACACAAGTTGAAACATAAGTCTCCAAAATGCAGCTTCTCTGGTTCTTGGCCCCAAACCTCCTTTTTAGAGTTTCAGAATTCCATCTGAGTACCTTAAAAGGAAGCAGTTTAGAAAGTATTCCCTTATTCAGTGACAGAACATTAAGTGAAGAAATAAAGAACTGATTTTTCAAACTCTTGAAACTCAACTACTTTGTTTGTTCAGTCTTTAAGGGTGGATGTTTCATTACTTACCCAATCATAAGAATTATTGGAAATCCCAGGTAAGGCCTCTGTTTTCAGCAACACTTTAAAAAATGTTTTTTTAAAATTTATTTTTGAGAGAGTGCAAGCAGGGGATGGGCAAAAAGAGTGGGACAGAAGATCTGAAGCAAGCTCTATGCTGACAGCAGTGAGTTCAATGTGGGGCTTGAACTCATGAACCCCAAGATCAAGACTGAATTAAAACCCGACACTCAACTGACTGAGCCACCCAGGTGCCACTTAAGTAACGTTTTTTATGTTAGGTATCTTAAACTCACAGAATCATCCAAGTAAATCATAAGCAATGTAATTCACTCTTGGCGAACAAATATTTCCAGCCAGGTTTCAGTCTCTCCATAGACACAGACCCTAGGATAAGCTAACTTTTGACAGGTTATTTCTTCAGAAAGGGAACAAAGAACTTGAAAGTGTGAGTAACAATAAAAACTGGAAAATAAAGTCAAACTTATGTCAAGAGTTGATGGTATCAGTATAGCATCTGGCATATGGCAACACACTTGTCCAAATCCATTACTCAACCTGGAAAGAGCCAGACTGACTCCTTGATTTTGTGTGGTTTAAATTAGAGATGCTGTTTTCTCTGAAGAAATATTCATTTTTGATTGAATTTTCTTCTAAGCCAAGATGTGTGGGAAGGGAGGAAGAGGAGGAGGAAGACTGAGGCATGTATATATTAATAATGGCAAATCATAGCCAAAAGTAGAAATCTGCCATCTTCTCCTTCCATGAAGCAAGAGGCCATGTCATGTGACATCAGAAGAACAAAAAGGACCACCCATCTGTCTCATAGGAGCTACACCCTGACATCTTTTTATAGGCAAAATAGCCCTGTTATCAGCTCATTTGAATAAATCTGTCATTTTTACCTTGGTATGAATTTATCCGCCTATTTATTCATTATTCATTCACTAGCCACCATACATTTACTAACTGGCTCCAAGATGCCTGAATTGCTGCTAGATTATAGAGATAAAACTGTAGACATGATATCACTATTGCTTTCACTGAACCTAAGTTCTAGTAAAGGAAGCACACAAGCAGTTTATCAATTATAGTTGATAACAGACAAGACAGAAAGTATAGGATGTAGTGAATCTAAAGGAAGTCTTCCTGGAATCAGTGATAATTAAGACCAGAGAAGGTAGATATTAAACTAGTCAAAGAGAGAGAAAAAAATATTTCAGGCAGAATAGAACAACCAGTATAAGGAACCAAAAATAATTTTTTCTGTTTGAGATGTAGGTATTTGAGAGTTGAGGGCAAAAGTAGGTAGGCATGCTGTATTAAGACTGAAGAGACAAGTAGACACCAGACCTGAAAGTCACATATATCATTTAGAAATTGTGCATGGCTGTAAAAGATGGAAGTCACCAAACAATGGTTTAAATAAGACATGGGTGGGGGGGGGGGTGCCTGGGTGGCTTAGTTGGTTAAGCGTCCGACTTTCGCTTAGGTCATGATCTCACGGTTTGTGGGTTCGAGCCCCGCGTTGGGCTCTGTGCTGACAGCCAGCTCAGAGCCTGGAGCCTGTTTCCAATTCTGTGTCTCCCTCTCTCTCTGACCCTCCCCTGCTCACGCTGTCTCTCTCTCTCCTGGAAATGAATAAAACATTAAATAAATAAATAAATAAATAAATAAGACCTAGGGTTATTTTTTTCTCATGTACAACAAATCCAGGTATAGGCAGACCAAATTATCTTTATGATGGAGGAAACATTAAAGATCTCAGCTCATTCTTGCTTTCAGTTCTTTCATATTTAATGCAGGACTTCTTTCTATAAGACCATTTTAGGGTCTTAAGATGGCCACTTCAGTTTGCACCACTATTTCCTCCAGTCAAGGAGATTGAAAGAGAAAAAAAAAATAACAACAGATAACAGTTCCCCCAACTCAGTTCCCTTTTTGATGAAACTTTTCTAAATGCTACACTTGAAACTTTGGATTTTATTCCCTTGGCCAGAACTTAATCATATAATCATTCCTATATGCAAGGGATGCTGAGAAATATGGTTTCTTAGCTGAGCACAGTTGCTCTCCCTAACAAAGTCAAGAAGAAGGGGAAAAAATGTGAAAGGTAACTAGTAATATTTGCTATGCCACACCATCATAACTCTATCCCAAAGGCAATGGAGTCATCCAAGAGTTTCAAGCCAAGAAGTGACATAGTCAAATTTGACCTTAATATTTTAAAAAGTTTAAAAAGTTATTGAAAAATTCATTATTACATACGCAATCTATTTATATAATTTTCCAAAAATTCATAAATAGGACTTCATAATTTGTTTTTGATGAAATGTTTGATGCATGAAAAATAATACACATGTATGTGAGCATTATGTAAGACAATAATAAAACAAAAACTCATTACCCACCATGAAACTTCAGAATCGGAATATTAGGAATGCCTGAGTGGCTCAGTCGATTAAGCATCTGAGTCTTGATTTTGTCTCAAGTCATGATCTCACAGCTCATGGAATCAAGCCCCATATCAGGCTCTGCACTCCTGTGTGGGATTCTCTCTCTGCCACCACCCCACCCCCCTGCTCTCTCTCTCCCTCAAAATAAATAAAATAAACATTTAAAAAATCAGAATATTAGAAATACTTCCTCATGTTTAAAAGCCATCACCCACATAGAGTCAAAATACCCACACTTTTCAGCTATGTATGACCATGCTCTTTGTAGACACACAGATAAGGAAAGGTGACAGAATATGAGGCCTCGGTGGCCTCATATTTTCCCCAGTGTCATGACTCATTTTAAAACCATACCAATAATAGCTACTATATAATTAGTACTTATTATGTGCCAGGCATTCTTCTAAATGAGACTTTCTTCTAAACTGATACATGGAGTAGTTTAGTACCTTCCCCAAAATTATACAGCTAGTGAATGGGAAACCAGGATTCACACAAGTCATATGGCTGCTGCTGTTGATGATAGTGGTGCTTGTTGCAGTGCTGGTGATACCTTTTTCCCTTAAATATGGCTATTTCTCTACTAGAATGTTAGTTTAATTTCTAAAATTTCACCTGTCTCTAACATTCTAGTCTGATTCGTTGATGTTTTG